ATCCTGCTAATCAGCATGTCTTCTCCTCCAACGATATCTGTAGTCAAAGTTCCGCATCAGCCGTCAGTTTTAGATCAATCGTACGACGAAAAGATTACTATGATAGAGGGGCGCTCACCCATCGTGTTACGGAAGATGCTCGTGCAGTTGTGCCTATGAGCTCACCCTCGAGCCCCGCAGCTAGCTGCACAGCGGCTAACCCTCAACGGAATCGCTCATCTCCATTCACGCTAAATTTAAATCATTCTTCAGTGGTGCTGTACTTGAATCCCCCGAGGTAACTTCAGGGGTCGACCACTGGAGCTCCGATGAAAGAAGTCAACTTCTGAGAAGAAATTTATGTTATATCGATTGGTGTTATGTCCCCCGGTTGTACGTGTGGATAGCAGAGAACAAGTTTACTGCAACAGTTTCTGCATGTACATCAACTTCTCAGTCCTTCTTTTGCGGCCGTAATATTTAAGGACTTTGTCTGTTCTTACTGGTCCATTCCGTAAGCGCCCTATCCGCGCAGCCATCGCGTGATGTCACTCCCCTAAAGGTCGCGCGTGCGTGGCTCTTTGTGTCTGCGCACTTTCGCGTGTTGGGGTTTCTTTGTCAGCCTGACCCTAAGACGGCAGGAATGGTGACTCATGTTCTGTGCCGTCCTAACAGTTATTCACCGCTTGATGACCGTAACGGTATTCCAGTTTCCATCAGAGCAAAAAAGTGCCGTTGAATAAATTGTGTCTCCGACGGAAAGACGTAGATTAGCCTCGTGTAGTTGTCTGGCTTTGTGCTTGCGCCAAATGTGTTTCGAGTGCAAGCCAGTTAGCCCTTATTTGCATAACCGGATGCGACCAGTGAAAGTCGTGATTTTGGCCTGATCTCGTGACGTGTTTGGACATGCGGTAGTAAAACACTGCATCACATCTGATGTTGCACCAGCGGAAAATCCTAGCCACACACATGCAGTAGAAACTTTCTCGCATGCATGCCGCTAAACGTGCCTCTAAATGCGCATACCTTAATGAGACAGGTGTCGGAGGAATTTTCCTGTTTCAGTGACCCAAATGTGACTAAACTCTTAGCTCCCAATAGGGCCTCGTAGCTCAGCTTGTTAGAGCTCTTGCTTTACGCAAGCCTTGTCCTGGCTGTCCTACGTTTGAATCCCACCAAGGCCGCCGATTTATTTTAAAGTGATTCAAACGAATCATTCAAGTCTGCGGAAAAACCAATTGACTGATAAATGTAATGAGTATTTCTTACTTGATTTGAAACATCGCAACTTCCAGGCGTTCTAGGTTAGCCAAAAAAAACTTCTTCCTCCGATTGATTATTTTCTTCACGGTGGCCGCACATATGTTTTATTAGGTATAGGTTTAGCGATCACGCTGGCCACGGACGATTTCATATCCCGTCGGTCTTCTGCTCGATGAAGAACCTCGTTGCCATCTTGCAACGCAGAATTCCTCAGTCATGTTGTGCTTGGTACTAAGTGCTGTCTCAGTACTCGAAGGTATTCATAATCACTACCTTCTCAATGTGGAATCGCGTGTTAATTTTCACCATACCTCCGTATTGTCGTCCCCTTGCCCTCCTCGTTCCATCACTCTGGACAAGGGGTGAGTAAACTTTTCGCCATCTGTTTTCCGAACTTTCATTCCTTCGTTTCAATGCCTCTAAGTGAATCGCGATCCGCCAGCCCAAATGTTTCGACACCACTGTACAACACCCAGCAGGCAACCTCATACCGGTCATTCAAGTCTCGCCTTTATACTGTAAAATGGCCTCAACTTCTGAGACTCACCCTATTTAACCGTTGACCAAGTCTGCGCAGCGGGGCTCAAAACTGACCCAGTAACCCAACTCGCGTACTGAATGTCTTATTTGTGACCGCGCATAGTGAACACTTCTCACACATCCTTCTACTGAGCATTTGACTGCTTGACCATTCCGGCCTTTACCGTTTCAAGATTGGTTCACCTCCAGGTCTGAAACCCGGTAACTTCTAGCGCGGGTCTTGGGGGTACATAGAAGAGAGTACAGTGAAGTCGATCTAATTTGTATTTATGAAAGCATGTGGGACCACGATTTTCGGGCATCTCGCTTTTCCACAGTTGATTTAGCAGAGACCGTTTTATCTCCTGCATCTATCCCTCAGACGGAGTTTTTCAAGTACCCTCCGAGTAGATCAGTATCATCCACACGCGTAAAACCCAAAATAGTTAAATTTCAGCCTATCTGGATGTCCTGACGGTCTTTGGGCCAGAAAATCTTAAGTCCT